ATCCGCTAAACATCGCTTTCTTGCAAATTGATTTTTCTTTTTATTCTGCAACTCTGGCTGCAAAAAAATGCAAAACAGCATTTTCTCAGACACCTCAAAGCCTACCATGCTCCATCTTTGCCCAGACTTTGCCTTAGTTGTTTGCATTGAGATTTTCAAAAGACTGAAAAAAATTCTACCAAGTTTTTTAAAAATCTTAGCTCTTAGATAAAAATTGGACGTGAGATCCAATAATGGGAATGGATAAAGTTAAAGGAATACCTGCTGTAAGACGTCACTGGAACTCTTCTGTTTTTGTGCAGAATTTTTAGGATCAGTGCCTGAAGCACTGGTTGACTGTACGTCATTTTCCTTCACAAAACACACATCGGCAAGAGGCGGGCGTCGAGGTCCAATTGTCTTTATTCCTACACCATATTTTTCGCCATCACGATGAATACTCTGTAAATCGAGTGTTCTACGTGGGCGCTTTCATAATGATTTGTGACCGCATGTTATCACTTTGCCAGTAAATACGTTTGTACAATAGAATTTTTTTCAAAATGGAATTGACGCATGCAGCCAGCTTGGTACTTGAGAGACAAATCTCTTCACGATGTGTTCATTCGTTTCGATGGTGAACTGGTACTGGCGCATTTAGGAGGACATTGGATTGCTTCTATGAAAGCTTCGAAAGAGGAATCATTAGCTGCCTTACCAATATGTAATTGCTGTTGAAATTCGTTACCACCAGGACTATTTCAGAGTGTTTCCACCTCTCGTAGAAAAGTGAATCTTGGAAAGGTTTGCAGGCATAAAAAATATAGCAAATTTCAACACGGCCCAAACCGATACTTCAGTGCCAAAAAAATAATACCGTAGCGCGGTTGATGCGCTGAGGCCTAGTAAGGAATAGGTAGGAAAAAACTGATAAAGATGAAAATGGGGAAAAGAAGTATAGAGAAGATGGGAATTACAACAAACGGGGGATTTAGAAAGATGCACAATTTCAACAAACCTTGTAAAATCCAAGTCGTCCTCTGGTTGGAATGAACTGAAGTCCAGATATCTGTGGCCTTGGAATTTGAACCGGTTCCAAATTACACAACGAGTCACGTACTGCTGTCATTTGCTGCCCGAAACTGGACACTGGCTATTTATACAAGTATTAATGCGGCAATAAAACTGAAACTGTCTGTTCTGTTTGAAATTAAATTATGATTTGAAATGCAGCGAAACATCGATAATTGTCACAATCTAGAGATTTTTCCTTAGCTGCATGATTCGGAGACTTTCTGCTGGGGTGCAAGAAGGAAAAGGCAAAAGAGCACTTGGAAACGGCATTTTGACCATTTGAGATCCTTAATCGCACATACTTTTTTTCGGGGTTAGACAGTACTTAAATTCAAAACACACCTCTAAAAAATAAGTTAAAGTGTGTTATTAGTATATCAACAAATGTGTAAAATATGTGCTAAATGGCAAAAGCACCAGTAGGCCGTTCTCGGCTGCTGCTGCTGCCCCGACAAATTTGAGGTTTTCTGTTTCTGTGGGTTTGAGCACGATCACGAAAATGCTTTCCAAAATTTCAACTTCCTAGCTTTCTTAGCTCTGGTGTTAAATTATTTTCAAAGACATAACATACATTTACATACACGTATGTGTTCATGTATGTATGCAAGCATCTATGTATATGCACTAGCTACAATGATGATATAGCTACAATCTAGCTATAATGCAGTGCTATTTAATCAAAAACAAAA